CAAACCCTAACTCTTAATATTAAATTCGAAAATAACACAACAAATCAACAGATTAAACTCAATAGATACTTGACCCAACGGCTACTGGGTTCGAAACGAAACCCAGAGCCTCACTTGCAAGAACCCAGTAGCTGCTCAAACCTAGCACCCGGTGGGTTTGAAATGAAACCCACCGCCTGCTGGTTTCGATTTCGAACCCAGCACCTGCAAAAACCTAGTGGCTAGTAGGTTCGAATTGAAAAATCGAACCCAGCATCTGCACAGGAACCCAGCAACTGCCTTACCTTGCCTTCCTCATCTTCATCAACCAATTTTTCATCACAATCAAACAACAATATCCAAAAAACAACTTCATCACAATCAACCAATTTTTTTAATTTTTTGCACCTTGGTTCGCAAGGAACCCAGGCGTGCTGGGTTTGTAGGAACCCAACACGCTTGGGTTCCTTGCGAACCCAGCACACTTGGGTTCCTTGCGAACCCAGGCGCTGGGTTCACAAGGAACCAAACCCAAGTGTGCTGGGTTCGGTGCGAGCCTAGGCAAGCGTCGGTTCCTTGCGAACCCAGCACACTTGGGTTCCTTGTGAACCCAGGCGTTGGGTTCGCAAAGAACGCGAACCCAGGCACTGGGTTCGCAAGGAACGCGAACCCAGGCACTGGGTTCGCAAGGAACGCGAACCCAGGTGCTGGGTGCGCAGTTCGCAAGGAATGCGAACCCAAGCAAGCATCCTTGCGAACCCAGGCCCTGGGTTCGCAAGGAACGCGAACCCAAGCGTTGGGTTCGCAGTTCGCAAGGAACGCGAACCCAAGCAAGCGTCCTTGCGAACCCAGCGCCTAGGTTCGCAAGGAACCCAGCGCCTGGGTGGGTTCGCAAGGAACCCAGGCCTGCTGGGTTTCGAGGGGAAAGAGAAGGGAAAGGGGAAGGAGAAAGAGAAAGTAAAAGGAGGAGAAAGAAAAGATAAAAAGATAAAAAAAAAAAAAATTTTAAGTTTTATTTTTTATAATATTTTTTTATATTATTATTTTTTCCACATCATCATTTTTTTTACTATATTATCTTCCACGTGGATATAACTTGTCATCTGGTAACTGTGAAGTAATGGGCCACGTCACACAATTTTTAACGGAAGGACCAAATCAGGGTAAAAATGGTAAACAGTATGGACCAAATTAAGGATTTTTTTAGTTCAGGGACCAAATCGGGGATCCGTACAATAGTTCAGGGATCAAAAAAGGGTTTTAACCAATGTTTTATAAATTCTTAATGAATTGTGAAAATTTAAGTAGTTTTATTTTGATAGTTATAATTATATTAAATATCTTAATTGCGAGTATATAGTTGAGTATATAATGTTTTTACACTTTGTTTATAGGGAGAAAGTTCATTTTTTTAAGGAAAACTCTATTGCATTTTTGATAAATTGATAATGAATTGGAAAATTTTAAGTAATTTTATCATGGTGGTTATCATTGTATTGAGTATCATGATTGCAAGTACATGGTTAAGTTTATAATATTTTTATATTTTATTTATAGAGGAAAAGCCTAGTTTTCAAAATAAATGAATTCAGAAATTTTTTTAGATTTATCATGAGAAAAATTAAATGATATAATAAGTATGATGTATAATTTATTTCAAGAATGTTTAATTGCATATGGACTCAAAAATATGGGGAGGACATCACTACATGGCCAAAATTAGTTAATGCCTAACTTTTGCCCCAAGTTTCAAGTGAACCTTCCAAGGATGGGCAACTTTATGAAATAGCCATTTACAAGGATCCTACTAAGCAAGGGGTCGTATACCATATGTGCTAGCTCTGTTCAATCATCTCAACGTGTGGTGCAGTTACAATAGACTGTGACAAAATTATAAGAGAATCAACAAACATTACAAGAGACTGTAGATAGGATGGAGAGGATGTTTGCTATGATGCATGGAGGAGTGGCTAGGACAAGTGGGGAATCATAATTGGCTTTGTTCTAAGTTGATTAGTGCATGAAAAACAAATTTTAGTATTATGCGTGGACATATATGATAGTCTCTACATGTATGACTAGCTATATTATAACATAGTATTTTAATTATTATTCTAGGATATAATACTTTAATTATGATTTTAGGTCAAGTTTTATATTTATGTGTTTCTAGGTAAACTTATATTCTATTTAGACGTTTTAATATATATTTGGGAGTAGCTTAATTAGTAGAATTTTTACTATATTTATTACAAATTTATGACAAAAAGTTAAAAATAAACAAAGTAGAAAACAAAGAAGGTAAAAAGCAAGAGATAAAGCAATCTGCACATTAAGTGTAAAGAGGTGGCTTTTTTTCGCTTGGCTTATTTCGGTCAGTAATCTTGATCGAAATTAAGGGGGGAAAAAAGCATATATATTAATTTGGTCAAACTATTTGACCAAAATACCTGTTTATATCACTAGTTTTTTTTTTTTTTTTCTCTCTCTCAATATGTTTTTCGGTCACTAATCTTGACCAAAATAATAAAGGTTATGGAAAAAATAAAAAATTGAGCTTTGCCTGCTAGAAGTTGCTAAAATTTTTAAAATGTCCACCATTTTTAATTCGGTAAGAATTCCTGACTGAATTAATTTCCCAATATCTTTTGTTACCCACTCTGCCATTTGAATTTTTTGTTGAAATGTTTTGTAATTTCCACCAAATTTATTTTTTTCAGTCTTACAATCCAAATTATGCTTCATCCTATATAAAAGCATCAAGGTAGACTCTTTTTGTTCCTTCTCCAACTTCTCTTCATTTCTTTCTTCTCCAACTTAAACATTTTTATTTATCTCTTATTTCTCTAACTTTCAACAATTCTCTTTAAATTTCCTTTATTTGTTCATGTCTTCATCTCTCTTTTTCTTTTTCTTGTTCATCACTTCTCTAATTTCTTTTCCTTTGTATTTTATTTTCTATTTTTTATTTATTATCATATATTTTCCTCCAAAACTAATACTAATTCCTTTCTTTCCCATCTCTCTTTTACTGTAATTTTCTTAAATTATGTAATTATGTGAATTTATCTTTACTTCTTATAATCTTATGTTTTTGAAGTTCTAATTGTACTAATGATTTTTTTTTTTCATTTTTAAGGTTCCGTAATTTGGTGAACAATGGAGTAACATTTTGGAGGCTAATATTACATGATTTAATATTTATACTCCTATTTATATTTTTCCATATAATTTTGTTAGTTTATTTGCTTGAATGGTTTAATTTAGGTTTAAGTACCATTTTGATCCCTCAACTTTTCACTTTAGCATCAAAATTGTCCCTCAACTTTAAAAAGTATCAAAATTATCCTTAAACTTTCATTGATACCAAAATGATCCTTCTGTCAGTTAAATGAACAACTGGCACGTTAAATGCCACAACATCATTGGACAACTTAATTTTAATGATCGTGTAAATTTCAGGTTAGAAAATTTGATATTTTTTATTATTGTTTCACAATTTTTCAAACTTAAAAAAAAAAAAATTCATTTTTTTCGTTTTTATTCTTTTCTCTCTCTTCTCCCTTCATCCTTTCCAAATCAAACCCAGATCTGGGTTTTTCTCAAACCCATATCTCAATTTCCATCTTCGACCCCCTCCATAACACAGTTACTTAAGATGCTCTCTTCTCCTCCTCTCTCATCCTTGCTCGTCCCTTTCTCAAAACTCGATGTTTCTCCGAACCCACCTCCTGTAACTTACGCCACACTCGATTCTATCCTCCGAGTGCCACCGCCACAATCGCCAGCTGTTATACTTCCAGGGAAGAACAAGGATCTCGTTATCTTAGACCATAGGGTATGGCATCCTGCACATCACTGTATGAGATTCTGGGTATATCGGTGGAGCTATGGAGATGGATACAGGCGTTGACAGGTAACTGGATGTAGGATTAATTGTTTGGTGGAAGCTAAAATAACTATTAGTGGTTTTGATTTTGTTCATTTTCTTTTAGCCATGGGCCATCATGATGATGAAGACGATCAAGGAGATGGGGTGCCAGAGCAAGCTGAGGAAAAGGAGGAACATGACAACAATCACGTACTTTGTGCAGAAGAATGCAACATTGGTTCCAATTCTTTGTAGGGAGACGTTGACATTGGATGGGAAAAACCCAGATCTGGGTTTGTTTGATTGGGAGAGGAAGAAGAAGGAAGAAGAGAGAGAAAAGAATAGGAAGAAGAAAGAAGAACGATGAGTGGGGAAAAGAAGGAAGAAGTTTGATTTTCAAAGGATTGAGAGAGAGAGAGAGAAGAGGAGGAAGAAAAAAATCCAGTACTGGTGATGGTAAACCCAGATTCACTTAATCTATGTAAAGAAAAAAAACCTAAAATGGTGAAATGGAATGAGAAGAGATGTCGAAGGAATGATGGCCCAAGGACAAGAAAGAGAGACAGAAGGGAAGAGTGAAGAAGAACAGGCCTAGGAACGAAAGAGAGAAAGAAGGGAAGGATGAAGAAGAACAGGAGAATGAGGAAGAAAATGTTAATCAACTTTAATTAATTAGTAATAATTAGTCCTAATTTATTTATTATAATTAAAAGTGCCACCTCATCAATTTGTGATTTTTTTCCACATCAGTATTTTTTTTCAAAAAAAATATAATTATCTGGCAACTTAATGTGCCATATGTCCATATAACGTGCCAGCTGTTCATTTAACTGACGGAAAGATTATTTTGTACTAAAAATGAAAGTTTAAGAATAATTTTGATACTTTTTAAAGTTTGGGGACAATTTTGATGCCAAAGTGAAAAGTTGAGGGACCAAAATGGTACTTAAACCTTTAATTTATATGCTTAAATTTGTGGTTATATATGAATTTGACTTACATTTGCATTTATGTTGAATTCTTTTTGTAAATGCAAAGTAATTTTGGAGTTATTTCCAATTTTTTACATATCTAGAAATTTAATTATAATTATTAATAAATAAGTGTAATAATAATTAAAAATTATAAAAGGCCAAAAAGTCAGATAGAGAAGAATTATATATTATTGATGATATTAAAATTGAATTTTTCATTATACCAAATTTTATTATAATATTTATTATATAGATTAAAATTAAGTAAATAATTTTACTTTTTTGTAATCTACATATTTATTTCGATCAAAATATTTGACCACAATATCATGAATAGCTAAAATTGACATGCTCAATTTAATATCATTTTGGTCAAATTTTTTAACTGAAAAGGTATTAAACAAATTTTGAAAAAAATCCATTCCACACTATTTCAGACTTTTCAGTTACTCATTTTGACTGAAAAATGGTAGAGCAATTTTCCAAGCATATTATTTCAGTCAAAAAAATTGATCAAAAAATGAAATGTTAAAATACCAAAAATATGCATTTCTATTAATTCAATCGTATAAATTGACCAAAATAGTGGCTAGATGAGTTTGGAGTTTGTGATGAGTTCGGTCACTCTTATTGACCGAAATACTGATTAAATTAATATTTATACAATTCAATCAAATTATTTGTTCAAATATATAAGTTGTTTAACGATTTACTCAATCAATTTTTTAGTCAAGTTTCTTAATTGAATTAAGTTATACTTTGGTCAAGATGAAATTCTCCCTGAAATTCTATTTCATACAAAAGATATTTGGACTAACAATTTGGTCAATGATATTGACCGAACTAGCATTTTTCAGTCAAAATGGTTGGTTTTTTCAATCAAGGTGCTTGACTGAAGTAGGTCTCTTTTTCTAGTAGTGATTGTGTTTTTTATAATTTGATACTCTAAATTTTTACCTAATCTAATATATTTAAAAGAGTAAAAATTCAGTTACACATAAGTATTATATATTATATTTGTACAAAATTTTACCCATTCATTTTTTTTTTTAATCTTGATTACATAATGGGAAGTAACCATCTCTCATTCCCTATCCCACTCCACCCACATATCATGCAATTCAAACTTAGTACCTCTTATTTCTAGCAGAAAGAGATGACCAATGAACTATTTATGTCGTTGACCATTCATTTTTTAACTTTCAATAGTTAAAATTTATCATAACTTTTTAAATAAAAAATAATTATTTCTAATAATTACAATAAAAAGTTAATAAATTTCGACCATTAAGAATAAATAGATGAATTATTAAGATTTTATATAAATATGATATATAAAACTCAAGTATAAGTGGGAACAACTCTATTTAAAATAGCATTAAAAATTTATCAATCCGCAAATCACGCTAATTTGATTATAATATAATAATAAATTAAATTGATTTAAAATTTTTATTAATTGATTAAACTGATTTAATTTCAAAAACATTAAAATTGAATCCAATTCACCCCCTAGACATCCCTGCTGTCATGCTCTAATAGTTACCGTGGCGTCGGTATTGCAACGATGTACAGGATTTAAAGGAAAAGCAAAAAGGGTTTTCAATGGAGGGGAAAGTTTGTTTAGAGATAGAAAAGCAAAACCGCATACCAAATGTTTGATGAAAAGACCAAGAGAAAGAATTAAAATTTTGGTTGAACTATTGAAGGAGGTGATGGTTAAGTCGCGAGCTAATTAATGAACTCAGAACTGAGGATGGAACAGGAGGACGAGGGGGAAAGCAAGGAGAAAAGAGAGAAATTGCTACAATTCTATGCCCCAACAGCCCAACTGTGATTTGAAATTGTTCAAAAAATGCAATTTCACAAATTACAGGACCCTAACTTTTCTTCTTGCTAATTCAATTTTATATCTGATTTTCTGAGTTAACTACCTCCTGTTTCCATGAAAACAGCAGAGCAACTCAAGATCGAGGTACTTCCCGTTTAGGGAACGAAGAATGAAAAATGATTGGTACATAATTAGTTTAGAATACATTTTAACACTTGTTTAGTGTAAATTATTAAAAATATAATATAAATATAGTTGATTTAATCAGTTTATATATTTTGTGTGTATTATTATATTTTAGAATACATTTTAACACTCGTTTAGTGTAAATTATTAAAAATATAATATAAATATAATTGATTTAGTCAGTTTATATATTTTGTGTGTATTATTATATTTTGAAATATGTTTATGTTTAATTTCAATTAAGAAATAATGATTTTTTAATAAATATATTGTGTATTATATTGAATCAGAATCTATACTAATTATTATC